GGATTTATCCCTAAGAAAGGTCCTATTATGAGTACTATCAATTCAAAACCCAGGAAAGAGAGAGACTTGTGAACGTGTTGTTTCTAAAAGTTTCATGGTTACTCTGCAACAGATCTATAATTTTTGAAAGTTTTGGAGTATCAACCTTACAGAGTATTCAAAACATGCTTTTATTTTTGTGACAACAATCTGAGATGTTCTTTCTTAAGGCAGTCAGACAACCATCTCTTTATAAACACCTCAGAAAAATGGTGCTGTTTTCTAACAGATATATGTTTTCTATTCAGATATGTGTTTCAGGGGTTAGTAGTGTATTTTTACTCATAGCCCCAAATTGGGTGTTTTAATGAGCAAGAGAGCTATTACAATCTGAAGATTGTACAGATCCAATGCAATGTACAGATCCAAATGCAATGTACAGATCCAAATGCAATCTGAAGTCAAATGATGTCTTGACCTTAAACATGTATCACATACAGGATTTTGTGTGTGTTTATTTGTTTGCTTTTTAATTATAATTCCTATTTCTTTTAACAATTCTACTGTGATTAATCCATTATTATCCGTGTAATATACCATATCAGAATTCAACCCCAATAAGTTTATATATCATAAAACCGCTACGCCTGCGACTGCTCAGTGTCACACACTAATTGTATGGCTGCCTTCCGTATCGTCCCTTACACAAACAGCGTTTACACAGGAATTGGTCTTTTTCAAAGACTATTAGAACAGCTTCTGCATTCTGCTCCATTTCCTAGTGGTCTGAAGCCTGTATTATAAAATTGCCATATTTAATATAGTACAACAGAGCAGACTTGTTTAATGTCTCACTCTGCTAGAGAGTGGTGTGTCCAGTTGCAATGAACTACTGTCACTGTCAAGTCATAGACAAGGACAAGTGACAAAATTCATGTTATATTTGTTGACACCATGCCTGAAAATGTGGATACAAAGCAAAGGTTGCAGTTTTTTGATGCTGCAACTCACAGGTTTGAGACACAATATATACTTGGAAACACCACCCAAGCATATTTTTGTGCATCTTGTATGTTTAATCTAGAGAGGAAATGTAAAAATATGTATAAATACATATATATGTTGTGCATATGGGAGGTCTTTAAAAGACGTTTAGATGTGGAACTTAGTGATATGGTTTAGTGGAGGACTGTTAGTGTTAGGTCAGAGGTTGGACTCGATGATCTTGAGGTCTCTTCCAACCTAGAAATTCTGTGATTCTGTGATTCTGTGAAATATTAAACACTATGTTTTACCAAACATATATATTTTATTGCTTGCATGTGAAATGAAGTGCTTTATTATTTGTATTACGGCACTGAAAACACTTAGCTGTTTTTTATTTATAAGTAGTGCTCTATGAAATTACTTGCATTTGCAGCATCTTTTCTTCCTTAATTGAGTTTTCACCCACATATACTTTTTCATCAACCATTTGTATTTTATTTTTGTTATGATCATCCAGTGGAAATTGATCTAGCTTTTGTTGTTGTTGTTGTTTGTTGTTCTTGTTGTTGTTTTGTATGGTGCACCCTTGGGAGCTGGTTGAGAAGTATATCATAGAATCGCAGACCCTCCCAAGTTGGAAAGGACCCACAAGGACCATTGAGTCCAAATCCTGGTTCCCCACAGGACTACCTAAAAAAATAAAACTTAAGTCTGGGAGCATTGAAGTCTTTAAGAGTGCTCTCCTCAAGTCCTGGGTGGTGATTCTGCTTTTTGTCTTGATACCTCCTTTCAGGGTCTTCAAGTCCAACATCCCATGGTCACTTTAGCCAAGTCTTCCTCTGATCAGGAGAAGGTCCTCTCAGATGATTTATTTTTTCGTCAGTATCAGGGCCAGCAGCACACCTCCCTTTTGCTGCCTCCTTCATCACTGATATCAGGATGCAGTGGTAGTTTGCTCCAGAAACCTCTTTGGTTGCTGTTGCTTTCCTGGACTGTCCTTCCAGCAGATAGCACAGTGATTCAAGTGTCCTATCAGGGACAGGTCCTGCAACCATGAGGCTTTCTAAAGCTGTCTAAAGAGGACCTCATGTCCATCATCTTGAACAGGTAGTTTCTGTAGCTGACAGTCATTATAGCATTACTCCTATTGCCCTGCCCACAACAGCTGGCTCATGACCAAGTCCCAAGGCAGAGGTCTGTGCATCCCCAGAGCTCTCTGGGCCTGTAGGCTCATAATCATTGCTCCTGGGCCACATAGTCATGTTTGAGACTTCCCAGGTCACGCCTGAATGTATCTCCATGGAAGAGGTGAAAGAGGTAAGAGTCTGGGAGCGCGACAAGTACTGCACCCAGGAGCTGACAAGATGTCAAATGAAAAATGGCAAGTCACTAGTCACTTTTTAGAGCCGTCTTTTAAAGAAACTGGAGCAGACAATTCCAATGCTAAAGAAGTCAACCAAGTGGAGCAGAAGGTTGGCTTAGCTGAAGAGGGATCTTTTCCTGGAACTGAGGTAGAACAAGAAAGTGTAGGGACATTGGAAGCAAGGTCAGGCTAAACAGGAGGACTACTGAGATGCTGTTTGCCCTTTTAGGGAGAAAATGCGTATAATGATAGCTCAATTGGAGTTGAAGCTGGCCAGTACTGTGATGGTTAACTAAAAAGGGCTTTTTCAGGTATGTTAACAGAGACAGAAATACTAGAGAAAACATTGCTCAGTTACTCAGTGAGGTAGGTCACCTCACGAATAGTGATGAAGATAAAGCAGAGATGTTTAATGCCTTCTTTGTCTTAACACCAGTGGTGGGCCCTGAGTCCACTTCTGACTGTATGAGTAATAAGCTCCCAGATGATGTTGCACTTGTCTGGGGTTTGCTGCTCCAGATGAAGGCACAGAAGTCTGTGAGGCCTTGATGGGATTCATCCCAGGGTACTGAAAGACTTGGCCTATGGTATTGTAAGACCTCTCTCCCAGGTTATTTTTCAACAGTCTTGGGAATCTGGGGAGGTCCCAGTTGGCCGGAGAGTAGCAAACGTTATTGCAGTTTTCAAGAAGGGCAAGAAAGAAGAGCCTGGTAGTTAGTCATGTCAGTCTCTCTTTGGTGCGTGGTAAAAATAAGAAGATTATTCTGGGAGTTAATGCAAAACAATTGAAAGACAGTGTGGTCATTGGTCCAAACCAACATGAGTTCATGAAGTGAAAATCATCTTACTACCTTAAGAAACTAGTATTTCTACTGGCATCTGAGGTAGTAGAGAGAATGCCTGTGGGAGCTGTGCCCACACAGACAAACTTTTCAGCTTGGTGGCTGAGCTTTTTGAGGAAGTGGACAGGTTAAGTATATAGGCCTCCAAGGGATTGCCTGCTGCAACCATACTCTAACCTCGCTGGAGTAGAATTGTCAGCTAGGCATATCGCATGAAACAAGGCTGATCCTGTGCCCTCTCTCCAGAGACCAGAAGGCATTGACTTGAAGGACAGAGGTGAATGGAAACAAGCATCTGCTCAGGGCAGTAGGAAAAGCTCCTCCTTCTTGCCTTCAAATACACCTTTACATAGCATATGAGGCTCTTGAATTGGAAGAACATGGTCATAATGAGGTAGATGGTGATTCGTCTATGCTAGAGGAATCACCAAGGTCAGGTCAGCTTATCCCCTGCATTGTGACTGCCTTCATGAAGAAAATACAGAAGGTTATTGTCATAGCTGTCCCTTCTGAGGGGAAAAAAGGGCCCAATCTAGTCACCAAACCCAACTTTTAGGGAAGTTCACTGCCTTCCTGGGACTTTCTCAGGATATTCGTCATTCTATGACTCTAAAATTATCTAAGAATTAAGTGGAAAAACGCAAAGTTAGTAATAAGGTTCACCTTTTATTTGCAGTATACTGTAAATAGTTTGGAGAATCATAAGATCTGTACAATTTGTGAATTGATCTTTGTAAAAAGGTCTGCTTTGTTAAAAAACAGGCACAGAAATCACAATAGAATAAACAGATAATCTTTTGTTTACTGGAAGATCTAGTCATAACTGTAGGGTGCAGAGTGGGGGATCTACTGCAAGTCATTCTGTTGGCAAGGAGAACTTCTCTTGTTCTTGCTGTAACTGCAAGGGAGGAAGAGAGGAAGAGAGGAAGAGAGGAAGAGCGGAAGGAAGGAGAAAAAGGACCAGTTTGATGAACCAGAAGATTCTGATTAGTAAAATATTAGTAGATTAATAGAGTAATAGAATTATGGCAAAAAGCTGAGAGTAAACAATATGCCAAAAAAAAAAAAAAAAAGAAAGAAAGAAAGAAAATGGAATAGAGCAGTTCCAGAATAAGAAGTACAAAACCACATGTACTAAAGGTATGATATAGAATCATAGAATGACAGAATGGCTCAGGTTGGAAGGGATTTCAAAGATAATCTAGTTCCAACCCCCCTGCTATGGGCAGCGATTCCACACACTGGATCAGATTTTTCAGGGCCTTGTCTAACCTGGTCTTGAACACCTGCAGGGATGGGGCATCCACAGCTTCACCACCCTCTGACTGAAGAATTTCCTCCTACTCTCTAATGTATATCTCTGCTCTTTAATACCATTCCCCCTTGTCTTGTTATTACCCGATTGAGCAAAGAGTCACTCTTCATCTTTTTTATAAGTTCCCTTTAAGTACTGAAAGATTGCAATAAGGTCTCCCCTGAGCCTTCTCTTCTGTAGGCTAAACTGCCCCAGCTCTCAGCCTGTCTTCACAGGAGAGGTGCTTCAGCCCTCTGATCATCTTTGTGGTCCTCATCTGGACCTGCTCTATAAGATCAATATCCTTCTTGTGCTTGGGGCCCCAGACCTGGATGCAGCACTCCAGGTGGGGCCTCAGGAGGGCAGAGCAGAGGGGAACAATCCCCTCCCTCCACCTGCTGGCCACTCCTCAACAGACACAGCCCAGGATGCAGCTGGCCTTCTGGGCAGCAAGCATGGCTCATTTCGAGCTTTTTGCCAACCAGAATCCCCAGGTCCTTCTCTGTAGGGCTGCTCTCAGTGAGTTCTTTCCTCAGTCTGTGCTCCTGTCTGGGATTGTCCCAGCCCAGGTGCAGCACCTTGCACTTCAGCTCGTTGAACCTCATGTGGTTCATGTGGGCCCACTTTTCGAGCTTGTCCAACTCCCTTTGGGTGGCATCCTTTCCTCCTATTTTATCAACCACACCCCTCAGGTTGGTGACAGCTGCAAATTTGCTGAAAGTGCACTCAATTCCACTGACTACATCATTGATAAAGATATTAAAGAGTACTGGTCTCAGGACAGACCCCTGAGGTACACCACCTGTCAGCATCCTCCATATAGTAAGTAAAAAAAAAAAAAAAAAAAAAAGAAAAAAAGAAGAGAATTTTCCTGTGGACATATTTTATGTTTTGCTTGTTTGTTTTTTTTTTTTTGTTTGTTTGTATGTTTGTTTTATCTGTAAAAAACAAAAGCAAAAAAAAAAAAAAAAAGTATGTCTCCTGTTATGCTCAATAGCATTAATAAATTACAAAAATTGCCATTACTCCAGGTAATGAATTTAATCACGTGGTCACAAAATTCTGAAGCTACGATTCCAAGAGTAACATTAATTATACTTTCTCTCTTCTATTTTTTGGTATAGTCTCCAGTTCATAGAATATTAACTCTACTAAGGAAAAAGCATGTGTACATGTGAATATCTTAGGGGAAGACCTGCATTTTAGAGAATCTTCCATTTTAGTTTGAATGTCCACTTGGCCTTTGAAGATATATATATATCTAAGTCACTTGCTGTGTCTAGCACATAATTAAATATAGTATTAGCTTACATCTGAGTGGAAAAAATAACATTTTGAGCAATTATCAGACAAATATTTTTGAGAAAAAACAATGCTTTTAAGCACAATTACAGAAAAATAAAAATAAAACGAGGACTTAACTGGAATTGAAAGTATCCTTATTCCTCAATATCAGTCCTGTTAATGAACAAAATGAACATTTTAGGCAATAAGATCTCCATAATGTCTTGCCTTTACGTTTCTAATTGTAAAACCTGTTCCAAGAAGATACTGCCAAATGAGAAGTTTATAGATACAGGTTTTGGATCTATAAAACTGGTCTACTGTGCTGTCTTATGTGCTGCACTTGGAAAATATATACGTTGTATATTAAAAAAAGAAAAAAAAGAGTAAGTGATTTTTATCTTTAAAGCTCCCCTTGCACTGTTCCCTCCCCCAGTTTCTTTCCCTCCACCGCCCACTCCAGAAAGGAGCCTGAGGAGGAGGTGACTGTTCCACGCCATTGAGGCAACCATGAGAGATAAATATTCCCCAACATGTATCTGCTCTTCAGATGAGCATAGTTGACAGCAGTACTGCAGCACAAAGGTTGTTATTTCATGTCTGTTTAAGGTGTCTGTAAATAAATGGATTGAAATTGTGGTGCTGAGAGAGGTCAGAATAATATTTTCCAGTTTAATAGTCTTCCATTTTCTTTTGAACTGGCTGGAATTCACATTGTTTTTAACCAATTTTTAATAAATTCCAAGTCTTGGACACTGTGCATTTCTATACAGCTTGCAGCTGGAACTAAACAGACTTACAATAGCTGAAGGTAATTCAGCAATTTTAAGTTTTTAGGAGGATAATGAAGTGAGAGTTTCTGTGAAAAAAAAAAAAAAAAAAAAAAAAAAGGTATTTGTAAACTCTTTGTTTTCCAGAACCTTTTCCTCGTTTGGAGAATAATGTCCTCTCCTTCTAACAGTTATGATTTTTCATTAGACTGTTTGTGTTTTTTTTATTATTATTATTTGTTTGTTTGCTTTGTTTGTTTTCTGTAATAAATATATAAATGATTTTTATTTATTTATTTATTTTCATTTGTTTCCCACTTCCTTTTCTTCGCTGTTTATCAGAAGGCTGGATCACATGACAGCATAAATGACTTTGGCACCTATTCTGTGAGTGCAGACCCAGGGCAGGGGGTCTGTCTGGAATAGCTTGCTTTTACTTGTCTTTTGGATTGATTCTTTGGGGCATTTTTGCATCTTGTTCTCTGTGTATTGTGCTGAGCACTGTTTATGTTTTTCTGATAATGTAAAGTCTGTTAGACTAAAAATATTCCCTCAACCTCTTTGAGGGGAAGAGACTCCTGAGTTTTTACTCAAGTCTGAAAAAGAAAAAAAAAGGACAAACTATCGTATATTGTGGTTACGGGAATATTCCAGGTACAGCTGAGAACCATGAACAATAATCCTTCTGTTTGGAACTCTCTGACAATGCCTAACAAAGGAAAAGCAGGAGTTGAAATGCATTTGTTTACACACTTGTCTCTTGCCTCTGCTCTTGCAGTTTTCTGTCTCATGGATTCCATAAATATATAAAAGTAAAAAATAAAAATATACATTTTCTCTTATTTGAAAGCGAAATAGATGTAATGACATGGAGGTGTAGGCTCTGGAATGTTATGCCTTCACAGACACCAGGCTGTAGAGCTAAGGTAGAAAGTAATCCTGGACTCTGGACTTTACATATAAGAATCACAGAATTGTCTAGGTTGGAAGAGACCTCAAGATCATCGAGTCCAATCTCTGACCTAAAGGGGGATCTAAGTGAAAAAGTGGGTGAAAAAGAAGTTTGCAGTCTTGCCTTTCATATGCTGTGGTTTCCCAAGTTAATGATGATGCCCAGTTTACTTGATAAACTTTTGTTTGATTTTTTATGCCCAGCAATTATGAGCTATCTCAGGAACACAACAGAAATCTTCCCATTTAAATGGCTTGGAGGAATGATCTCTAACAGCTTTTGTTAATCCTCCCTGCATAATCTAAAGAAAATGAAGGGTTACAGTGTAGAGAAGCACTTCCCATAGTATCTGTTTTATTCGAAATTCTCAAAATCTTTTATTAACACTCACAAAAAGTACCCTGAGATTTATGTAATGTTATGCCTATTTTCCTGTTGGAAAAACTTGCCAAAGGTCACTAAACAGCTTTGGACAGCAACTGGAAACTAAATGCCCAGTTCTACTCAAATGGAGCTCAGGGTTCATGAACCCTTACCTCTGATAGAAGTTATGTAAAGATGAACCAAAGTTATTTTAATGGCTGGGAAAGTCTTTTTATTTTGCTTAGCCATTCTTAGTCCCTCAAGAAAATCTTCCTTCTACAGATTTATCAGAAAGAGAGGGTTCCATCAGGAATTAGGTTTGTTTAGGAAAAAAAAAAGTTTTATGGTGAAGCATTTGGGAATAATCCCATGGAGGTTATTTTAACTACATTTTGCCAGCAGATCATTCCTTGCATTGTTATGCCTATTTCTGGTAATTGCAAGGTGACACTCCTGAACGTCTGTGGCAAGACCAGCTCTGCTCTAATGGTGACTCTTGAGACTTGCTGTGAAATGGAGAAGGCTGCAAGAGCTACTTGTGTAAGTGTTCCCTGGCTCCTCTCAGGCACCATACACTTCTGCATCAACTGCACTGTACTTCATCTAACTCCAAGAATTGTGTGAGCATGCCCAGAAGCAACCTGGGATCTCTGACATGATGCCAAATTGTATTGTAAAAAACTGCCTCTAGTCCTTCACTTTCAGTTATTAGACAACAGGAGGTATGTGCAGGTGTGTTTGACTCATTATGGGCTTAGTGGCTTATGGCTTAAAGCTGACTTCTTTATATTGGGCTTCTTCGTTATGACACTACAACTGCAGGGGATGGTGACACACTTGCAGTACTGCCTGTACTGCCACATCAAGCACAGAAAAATCAGGAGGTAGACACAGCCCACTTTTTCCCCAAACATATAAGTGCATTTTGAGGATTTCAAATTTGTTTTGTTACTTTGAGCAGCTTGAAGTAGTCTTGCTAAATATTTTCAGCTTCTTTCTGCAGTTGTAAATGTTAGACAGTTACTTTAATGCACATGAAAGATTAGATTCCTGTACAGCTTCTTAATTCTGAGAGCTGCAGCCTTTGAAAGAAGATGTAAGATTTGAGATTACAAATTAAAGGAACTGGTGCTCAGCACTTAGGTTTACTCTCAGCTTGGTAAATTTGCATAAAATGTTGCTGTAGCATAACTGGGATGTGGTAGATTGCAAACACAACTCTTTGAAAAGATGACATTCAAAAATAAAATATCTGTCAGTGTGAAATGAAGCAATTTTATACCATGCCTGTACATGCACATACCATACTTTCCCCCAGAAATCTTGAATGTTTGGGTTCCCTTCACACAGGCAGCTATGTTTATAGTCGATTATATTCCTGAAAATTACCAGCTATGTTATGATAGATTTCACTGTCTCTGGAGAAGTTAAAGGAATACCATAAAAAAATTGCCTGAGAGACCAACTCCAGCACTTCATAGGAAAACTGAACTGTTGTGTCAGTGGAAGCTCTTTTTGAAATTTAGTGCTTACCTTTAAAAGCAATATTTAAATTAAGTTTACTAGGTCTTTTTCTAAACTGTTGAACTTCCCATAGGGGAATGGGATTTAGGTTTTACTGTTTGAATGGTCAGAAGTATGTCTGTTTTTCTCCCTTTTCACCCTGCCTCTCTGAACTCCAGATACAGTTTAAGTATGTTTTGCTGGAAAAATTCCCCTATTCTGGACCCCTTTTCTTGTGTGGATTCACTTAGTCTATAAGCTGAACAGTGGTAGAGATGGTAGAGGAATCTATTCTACTTTTAGCTGTAAAATTTACTTGGACTGAGAAGGAAAAACAATTGACAGTTATTCGAGAATATGTGCAGAATGCTAACTTTGCAAAATTTGCTTTCCTCTTGACCATACAATGGCTTTTAGCACAGAAATGAGGGTTGCAAGGTGCGTACTTCAAGTTTTGGAGACCTGACTTGGTTCAAACAAGCACTTGAAATCTGAGAAGCACTTCTGAAATTTGTCCAAACCTCTCAGTTCCTCAAAATTGTTCTCACAGTATTGCTATCCCAGGCTCTGCTCACTAGTTTTTTTGGCATTTTTTTCTGCTACTTTTAAGGTGGAAGTTCAATCTTTTTCACAGTATTTTCTCTTGTCTGTTTGTGATTTGGGATATTAAAAAGAAAGTTGGTAAAGTTTACCACAGTTGTAAGAAGTTGGGTTCTCAATGTTTTTCCACCCAGTATTTTATCTAACCTTTCCTCCCTTCTGTCTTTATCATTCTCAGTATGCCTTCATCCTCCAGTGTTTTACAGCTGGGTATAATATAGTAAGTTAAACTACTAGATGATTTGAGTGAGTTGGATGAATGTGTCAGCTGCTACTTCATCTTTGTTTGTTTGTCTGTTTATTTGTTTGTTTTCTCTTCTGTTTCCTCTAAGAAAAAAGCTTCAAGATATCAATTAACATGATGAGATGATATGAATCCAGACTGCTTGGTCTGTCAGCTGGTACCGTGTAGCCATTCGGAATAGTTTCTGTGTATGAAATTATATCTCGCACCTTGAGGAAGAAAAAGGATATAATTGGAGTAAGATAGCAGAATGGTGAGCAACTACTTATTTATTATTTTTTTTTCCTATAATTTTTCCAAATTATTTGTTTCTGTATTGTAGGGCAATGATTGTTACATTCATATCAGCATTTATCAAGCCCTTTGTCAGCAGAATGCAGCACAGTAGACTCACATGTGCAGGCTGTGTCAGGTCACAAGAAGATGACTCATTTTCTTTTAAATAAAAATTCTCTTATTTCTCCATAAAGATACAAGAGTGTTTTTGTTTTTTTGTTTGATTGCTTTTTTTTTTTTTTTTTCAAAGAGAGAAAGCAAGCAAGCATGCAAAGAAAGGAAGAAAGAAAGAGAGAAAGAGAAGAAAAAGAAAGAGAAAAGAGAAAGGAGAGACAGAAAGGGGGAGAAAAATGAAAGGAAAATGGGAGGGGAGGAGCGGGGAGGGGAGGAAAACTTGCTATGATGCCTTGAGCCTGCAGCTGACATCTTGTTGGCCTTAGCTGAGATTAGAGCAAGGCCACCCTAGGCACTGTCATCTGCTAATGGCTCCCAAGGAGTCATCAGCCTGACTGAGCTGATATTCCCTTCCTACAATAATACCTAGACAAATTTGGGCCTATGCTCTATACTTCATTGTTTTGAAGTTCTCTTTTGCTGAGTGCAAACTCTCAGTGATCCTCTATAGGTATGACAATGTTGATATGGAAAAGGAAGGGCATCCTGAATACAAGTTGGAACAAAATGTTCATTTCAGAGATGTTTTGGAATGAGTCAAAGATTTTAGATCTGGTTTTCATAACAGATATATCTGGGCTTCAATTCAGAATTGCCACAGAATTGTGGATCAGAATAGTGGTTTTGTGTGTGTGTGGGGGGGGGGTGGTAATTATTTTTTCTACTAACTACACAAGTTGCACCATGTTTCTTGCTCATAACATAACTCAGAAGCAGGAGTGACAGGGAGCTGGAAGCATGTCTGTAACAACAGAATTCCAGAGATGAAAAAAAAGACTCATATTTGAATCCTATGGTTTCCCAACAACAGAGTTTAATTTATTTTTTTTTCCTTTGTTTTAAATATGGGACATAAGTGAAACCTGTTTGTTGTTGTTGTTGTGTTTATTTGTTTTAATACACCTCTGAAGACATAATATGCACATGTGTAATTTTTTAAAAAAAGTTCCAGGGCTGTTACTGCCACTGCACTGTGTAATGATTTAATACTGCTAATATCCTGGTAGGTTCAGTTATAATGTGATCTTTTTGTCTGTTATTTAGAGTAAAAATTTTAATATTTGCTATTTTCTTCAAACTTGACTTACAATGACATGCAAAAGAAAAAGGAAGGCAAATAAGATTCCTTTCCTCTCTGAAGTTCAATCCTTTTTTTTTCTTTTTCTCTTTAGAAATAGTATGATTGAAAAATTACAAAGGACACAGCACAACTCACAGCAACGAAAGGCAAGGTATGCGTGAGATACTAAGCAGGTGATGGTGCTCTGCAGATTTACATCACTTTATGGTCATTCCTGATTCCATCAACATCTGTGCGTGATCCCATCCAGGCCTCGCTGTGGGTGGAGTAACTCTGTTTATGCTTATCTTGTGCTTTATAACCAAATTATTCCTAACATGTATTTTCCTAGTGCATTTTAACATGTCTACCATCTTATTTACTTTTTGTTCCAATAGCTGTGGCTGTTACAGAGATAAAGCGCTATCTGTCTCCCTGATGAACAGTTTTTTAACAGCAACTTGGTTGAACCCAAAGACAGAAATGCTCCACCTAAAGCTCAAGATTGGTTAAATCAACTTAATTAAGGAAACCAAACTATATGGTACCAGTAACTGTGGTTTTGGTCAGCAGCATTCACTGGGAAGACCTGCAACACTACACCTTCCTTCCAGTTGTAATAACTATTTTAGCAAACAGCCAGGGAATTTGTTACTGGATGGATTTAATTGCACATTCCTTAAGGTTAACCACAGACAGCATGTTTATCTAACTGCATGATCTACAAGGTCTGTAATCTGGAAGCAAATGGAGCATTTATAGTACTTTAGGAAAATGACAAGAAGATCAGGGAGAGCCACTGTGATTTTAGTATCCAGGCACAATGTGGATTTGCATTTCTTTGTTGATTATAACAATTCAGTGCAGACAAGAACAATGGTACCTGCACTTCAGCTGATACCCCTCAGCAATAGCTGCAGACAAGAGAAGTAAAAGCAGCCTTTTGTATGGTGCTTTTAAAAAAGGTAAGTCACTTGCAGCTTTTGTCGTGTAAGTGATAGCCCATCAACATGTTTTGCTAAACTGAATGGACAGTCACTGAAACTCTTGGAGGACACATGCAGAGCCATCTGGAAATTACCATTCCTACTTTCTTGTGTGTATATAGCTTCTTTCTGGGATATGCTCTGGATTTATGATTTGTGGTTCATTGTACATTCCCCATCCTCTCCAGGATGCAATCCAGATGTAGTGCTTACTAAAGTAGATGTGCAAACTTTGGAGTTAGGATACCTATTGGTTTGTCCTTTCAGGCTTATTACTAAGATTCTTTTAAATTTTTTAAAACTCTCTGCAAACCATGTTAGGGCAACGTTAGGCAAATGCCTTGTCCTAACTCCTGTGTCTTTCTTATCCTTGCCAATTTACTGATGTTTACTCTACCTGATGATAAACTTTGACTAAATGACAGTTTAAGAATACTGCTTGTAATTCAAGGAAAGTTTCGATGTCATCATTACAGGTTCTAGGTTCTGCCTCTGTCTCATCCTTTATGTTTGTCACACCTTTTTGTTATGTTGTGACCCAGCTTTCTTTTTACTGTATTAATCTTAGTTTTTAAATTTCAATATTGGTGGAGCTGCTTGTAGAGAAAAGTGCTATCCAGTGTGTCAAGTACAATAATCTGGCCTGAAAATTCTTCTATGCTTTCACTTTGGTATAATGAACCTTATAAATCCTACGCAGCTGACTAAACTATTCAGAATAAATGACACCAAGGTCAGTTTTCAGCAAGATGGCTTCCAGAAGTGATGTGTTTAGAAATGCTAATTCTATTTCCATGCTTAATTACACAAAATATTTCAGAAGTGAGATGTTTAAATAAAAATGGGTGAAACTTTTTTCCTTGGAAAAGTGTGTCAGTGGCTTCAATGCTTACTCAAAATAGAAAAAAAGATGTCTTTTAGTGTTCTGTATAACAAATTGCTTTCTTCTGTGGGATATAGATGGCACATGTACTGAGACACGACATGTCATAATTCTTTTCCTGTAATTTTGTTCTTGTGGTTTAGTCATGGGAAGTAAACTGCTCTGTAATTCCTACCTTGTTCTTCTATACTTGTGCTATGAAAAACCTTCATGTGTAAGTAATCTGTTTCACAAAGACTTGTGCATTTCAGATTTTGTATGTGTGAGTGTTGATGTCTCACTTTAATTTCAAAATTTGAGAGCGAAGGTCTGGGACTTCAGCTGCTTAAAACAAAATAATCCATGAGTTAATTAGATGTGCCTAGTTTAGAAACTCGTCCAATTTTGCTGCTTACAGTGTAAATGGGACAGGAGTGGTGAATGAGTTCCATACATATTCTTGAAATTCCTGTCTTTAGCAGCTATTTACTTGACTGTCTTCCTCATGGACAAAGCAGGATTGAGAGTTGCTTTTGCTCTGATCTTCAACCCTGCTACTTTGACTGTCCAACCCAAGATTTAAAAGGTTTTTGAGAGAAGAAAATGCAACTGATGGAATTTTCTGCTGTTTAAGAGCAGAACAAGGTTGTGTGTATATAGAGACTTTGACCTCAACTGAATACAGGTAAGGATGGTCGTGTCAGCTAAGACATTGTTCTACAGTTGGCAAGATTTGCCTTATGCTACTGCAAACATCCTTTTTGAATTTAGACAAGTAACTTAATCTGTGCAGGTGTAATGTTCCCATTTGTAAACTAGAAATGGTATACTTCAGCAAATCATTAACCTGTATTAGATTGCGAGGTATATTATACAGCGAGATGTTCAGATCTGTGGTGGTGAGGACCATATGGATTTCTAAGCTGATTAACTGGGACTTACCTTAGAGTCCACTCATGTAGTTTACAAAGCTACTTTTTACTTTATTATTATTATTATTACTTTATATATCAAGTATATAGGGAGGCTGGGATAGATAGTGCATTTTGACTGTACTTCATAATTTAAATCTGAAATACCTTCGCTAGAATCAGGGAGAACAAGAATTGTGAGGATGAGTGGACTAATAAGGAAAAAGAAACAGATTTTATCAATGATTCCATAAAGGGTAAAGTCAATAATTATTTTATTGGAACAAATGAAGTCATGCTGTATGTTTAGCATTATTTTTCATGTTATATAGTTTTAAAGTATACGCTTGAATCTCTATAATGGTCTTTAGCTGAAAACTTCAATGATAAAGAAATCCAGAAACAGGAAGAAGTAAAATAATAAGTGCTGTCTAAAGGAATTGTCAGTCCGTACTTATGCCTTAATCTGCTGCAGTAGATCATCCTTTAGCTTGCTTTTGCTCATCATCCAAAGGGAACTAAATATAAATTTTATACAGATGAGTGCCAACTTTTTGCCATATGATCAAGATCAGAAAGAACTACCTTGACAATAATAATGACAGAAGGCTCTCAGGAAAAGAATGCCACTTATTCAGCAGTGTCTTACATAGCCTGCAAGAACATTCTGTCAAGAACACTAAACAGGAGTGTGGAAACCAGAATCTGACCTCCCAGAACTCAGAATGGTATGAGCATGATATACTCAGTCATATCAGTGATTTTAGTGGAAGTGCTCTTGACCTGCTATGGAGTAAACTGAAAGGAACCAATTCCATGACTTCTTGCCTTCCTCATTTCTACCCATGGGTACACTGCTCCTGTAGACAGAGAGAGAGAGAGAGAGAGGTGCTGCTAGAGCAGAGAAGGAGCCATGGTTCTGGAAGGAATCCTTCTCTAAAAACCCCAGCAGCAGGCCTCTGATAATATACTGGGTGTAAGTTGCACAGAGAACAAAACAGCATGTGCATGTGTTAAAGAATGGCTTGGATCCAAGATGGGAGGCAGTGTACAAGGGCTAACAGTAGCCCTTGTGAAAGGTTAGGTGATCCTTGAACAGGAAGCTTTGTGACATGTTCACAAACATTTATGATTGTATAGCTTAGGGGTATGGTTTAGTGGGGACTGTTAGCGTTAGGTCAGAGGTTGGACTTGATGATCTTGAGGTCTCTTCCAACCTAGAAATTCTGTGATATCTGTGATGTTAAAAGTAGCAGACAAAAGGACTAGGGTAGAATGATCAGTCTGACATGTACTGCTGGTGAGGAAACTGTATTGTGGTATAGCTATGAGTAACTTTGTATTTAGTGAGACCAGGTTTTATACTTCTGAGTGATGCCACTGGAATGCCCAGAAAATTGGGGGCTGCTGGATTCACAGTTTCGTCTACCAAAGTAATGGTGCTGCTTATTTGTGGCACTTGAAATAAGATGGTGGTATTATTATTCAACACAGACACTTAGGTACTTCTCAAATCTTCTAGGGCCTAGATCCAGAAAACCTTAGTAAATGAAAGTGGCTACCATCTGCAGTGAACTGGAAATATATGCTGCAGGCTCTATGGGGAAGAATATACCTGCTGGTTTTATGGGGTGTGTACAAAGTAATTTCATCATGTGCTGCAAAGCAAACCACTGAAATGAACCAGCTTTTGCCAAAGACATTGCATCTGCACTGTAAGAAGCACCCTCTGAGGACACTCACCATGGGCTCAGGAGCTGCCTTTATGCACAGGCACTTGCCATCCATCTTTGCCTGATTTTTTTTGTCAAAGATAAACAGTATCCCTATCTAAGTTATGTCAACTCTTTGGATCTGTGTTAAAACAGCTTTATAAAAAGTTACCTCTTGGCCTTCTTTGTATGCATATATGTGTGTGTATATATGTGTGTACATATATATATATATATATATATATAAAGTTAAGGGAATTTTGCCAGAACCTTAATGAGAGCATATTTAGTGAGTAATAACAGAAACCACAGAAAACGTATGTTCAGGAGACCTATTGTTAACGTTCCCTTGGGCTAAGATGTCTTAAATTTTATAGAGAACTCATCATTAGCATAGGTGAGGATATAAGACTTATGAAAGAGCTGATCCTAGCAGAAGTGAGTGCACCTGAACTATGTCCAAAGAGTGTGATCTGGTGTGCATTCATGTTGAGAGTGCATTTCCTGTGTGTGTAATATAGAGCCGAGACTTGCTCAGCATTTTCTGTCTTCAAATATGCAGATGTACCAACAGATGTCCCTTCAAACTACAGCCAAATGCAATGTACCATGGACTTAAGACAGCACTTATGTGGACTGTAAAAGGCTTGTCTGTCCCTATTATATCCATTTATATTAACCTTGCAGAATAATGAACACTGACATTTTTTCTTATATGGGCTTTTTAAGTTGCTCACTATAAAGTGAAATCTTCGTATGTAAATGAAGTGCCTGTTCCATTAAATTCAATGCCATTAACAGTTCCTCTGCTTCATGGCACTAAGGGTATGATACAGGCTGGTTGAAGCCAGAGAATCAAAGATAAGCTTGCAACATTGTCCTCATCTTGTCCTACTGTGCCTTTATTTGCCTTCCAAGATGTTTTTATTTGAGAGTTGAAGCTCTAGCTTGACTTTGGATGTCAAAGTCAAAGTAGACTTTTCCAGTGCAAGCTAGTCCCTGAAACTTTTTTTTTTCTTTTTTAAATAATATTGGATCCCCCCATCCTCCCTCCCCTTATTTGTGTTTAAGGCTATTTTTAACCAAACTGTCTTGTTAACCCCGGGGAAAACACTAGAGCTGAAAACCATTCAAGTAAGCTCAACAACTGGCTCCCCTATGGACAGCTGTGCAGAATCTGTCTGGAAAAGCTCATACTCAAAGCAAAGTAGCGGACTAGTCCCTTTTCTTTGAATTCTTTGGAATTTTCTTTTTAGGGACAATTTAAGCAAAATGAATTGCAAACAACTGAAATACCAGAGTCAAAATAAGGGTTTCTGACACAGTAATTAAAATAGAACCTATTTATATAAACTGGGTCTCCTCCTGCAAAAAGAAGATGAACTAATGCAGGGCCTCTTTCTCCAAAGCACCTTTAAATCTTCACAGAATTATATTTTTAAATATGATGAAAAATAATGCCACTTTGTTTATTATAGAATGCTTGCCAAAGTTGAGCCCTGAAGATACTGCCAAATGTTAACTTTAAATTTAGTAAACTGAGACGCTTTCCAAATGCTGTCATACACTCAGAGGGGAGCATGGGCTGTGAATTGTCCTGCATGGGATATATTAGCAATCTGCTACTACAGTTTTTCAGAAGAACAATTCTTAGGAATATACGATGAAACCGGAGTATTATGTCAGTAACCTTTGGGATGAAAATCTGTTTCCACTTGACTTGTAAAATGTTTTAAAATAATAATAAGATCACTGATGTCTTGTCCTTGTTTTTCCTCTTCTTTCTTACCCATGCATGAGAAGAATATATATATATGTAGCACAGGAATAATTCAATAAGGTATATCAAACGAATCAGAAGTGTATAAACTTGTCTGTGGAACATCTCCTTCCATTTTAATAACATATAATATCAAAAAGTGCAGATAAGATTATTTTTTTTCCTCTCCTGTCTTTCTCTGCTGTGATTTAATAGTGTCCATGCTTACATCTGATTAATGAAAATTCCTTCTGGTGTAGAGCACATTGAGTTTTATCTTATTTATTTATTTATTTATTTATTTATTAGCTCTGCTTCTGTTGACAGGAGAGAAGTACAGCAGCACAAAGCAAGCAAAAAGAGTTGATGGTAAGGTGTAATGAAGTTAGAAACCATAGCACAAGCTTTCTTCTTAAATCTGAAAAAAATTTCCAAATACATTATAGAAACACAGAATCATGAAGGTAGGAAAAGATTTCCAAAATTATCTGGTCCAACCCTCACTCTACCACCAATGTCAACCACTAAATCATGTCCCTAAGCTCCACAACCAACCTTTCCTTGAACACTCCCAAGGACAGTGACTCCACCAGCTCCCTGGACAACCTGTTCCAATGCCTGACTACCCTTTCTGAAAAGAAATTTCTCCTTATTTCCTCCCCTGGTGCAACTTGAGGCCATTCCCTCTAGTCCTATCCCTAATTATCTGTGAGAAGAGACTGACTTCCAGCTCCCCACAGCCTCCTTTCAGGTAGTTGTAGAGAGCAATAACGTCTCCCCTGAGCCTCCTCTTCTCCAGACTAAACAATCCCA